GAAGTACTAGCTATTAGTATATTCTAGTTCTTTAGTCTAGAAGAGTTAATAAATAGTATTATAAGAGAATAATATATATATATATATATATATATATATAGAAGGTTATAGGATAGATATAGCAAGGGTTTTTATATATAGCGGGAGTATAAATTTTATATAGTAGGAGGCCTCTTAGGGTTAACCCTAAAGTCTAGGCCTTAGGTATACTTCTTTTTTATATAACGCTAATAGTACTTCCTCTATACAAACATATATATATATACGCGTACGTAGTCGTAGTATATAGTATAGCGTACTACCGTAAACAGCGATAAGAGTAGATAATAATACCTTAGGTATATTGCGATTTAGGCTACTACTAGAGCGATAACGTAACGACGCGACGATATAACAACGTAACAACGTAATAACGTAATAACGTAACAATATAATAACGCGACGACAACGCGACGTAATAACGTAACGGCGTAACGACGTAACGACGCAACGATAGAACGACGCGACAACGCGACAACGTAACGATATTACGAGATTACTATCGCTATTATAGTATATAATATATTAAGAGAATTCTTCCTATCTATAGAGTAGTATACCTAAGGTTTTCGTACCTAAGGGTATTATAGTTAACCCTAAGAGGCCTCCTACTATATAAAAAAAGCCTTCTGCTATATATAAAAACCCTATAGTAAGTATAATATAAGAGAATAGCTAGCTAGAGATATCGTATTTGCTCTATAGAGAAAAAAAAGTAGAGTATAAGAGAGCTAATTAGAAGAATATATAATGCCTATATATAGTATCTAAGACTAACTAGAACGAAGTCTAATAGATAGTATATCTATAAACTCTAAATAGTAGGCAATCTTGTACTAAGACTTAGAATATTATATATTCTATTATAATTTAATATATATACTTATATACTTATAAAGCATATACTAATAGTATATCTAGGTCTTGCTAAAAGTGTCTATCGTAAGACGAGAGTCTTACAATAATTGAATATATCTTAGGTAGTAGTAGGAGGTAATACCGCCTACACGGTACCTCCTAAACCAATCTCTCCCGCTCTCGGCAATTTCCGCGTCTCCACTTTCTTCTTGTCGAATCTTACACTTCACTCTTTCCCATCCCTCTCTCCTCTTCCTCGTCTCTATGCCTAAATGCTTTTCTTTCTCCTCATACCCCCGTCAACTAGGAACTTACTCTCTCTATATGTACTGAGTTAGCATCGGAAGGGTATCGCGATGTAAAAGGGATTGGACCTGCTTCCGCTAGTGCTCTCCGTTCCTCTGCTACCTCCTAGTTCGATCCATACTACTCTGGCCATTCACACTTATCGATACCTTCCGCGATGTCCATGAACGATGGACGGCCCGACTTCTAGAAGAGCACAATTGATGAGTGGGCTAGAGCGGCCATCAAAGCCTACCGGTGCCTGACTTGTGACCAGAAAAGCGATCACGTTCAGATGATGGTAATCAAACCTCACTCATGTACATCGCACCTGTCTCAAGCTCGTCTGCACATCGATGACATCTCTGCTGGTCACGCCTACGGATGATGAGCCATCTCATTGCACTTGTGGCTATCCCTCCGGTCAGTAGACCAGTCGAGATTCTACTGTTGATCGTATACGTTGGGCCAAATTGAGACTGGCACACTTGAGGTTCTTTGACACTTCTGGAACAAGGAACCGGTCGGTTATGCGTGCGGTGAGTCCAACATGCGCAAGCCTCTCATTGGCTGCACTAACATTACGTGCATTGGCTTGTAACAGCCGTCAAGTCATCAGAAAGAATGTTACTCGCTTATTCTGAAACCCCTCGTGTACTTCTCCCTCCTGAGTTTGTACAACTTCTCGGTACGTTTAGTGCTGCAGGCTTCCTCAAAGGGCCAGTCTTGAAGAACCAAGCGATACCCTACGAGAAATTTCGATTCTTAGCCGAATGAGTGGATAGAGAGGTATGTATAGGGTGTGAAATGAGTTAGCAGGTGACATTGCTGCAAGCTCATTCGCTGCCGGGGAGGAGATGACTAATCCCGCATACAAGTTACCAAGAACTGCGTCTCAGCATTGCGACCGATTGACTAACGCTGCTCAGAAAGGTAACCTCTGACAGCACAGTAGCTATCCAGTCCAGCGACAAGAGATGTTGTCAATATCAAGTTGAAGATCAGCCTTATAGAAGATCCACTTGATCACTCGCTTACAAAGCGTATTATTCAATACACAGCCAATCAGATCCTTCAGTTGTATTCACTTACCTTGGCATGTGATAGCCAATAAGGACTATGCTACCCAAGGCTTGCGAACTCCGGCTAAAGGCGTCTAATGATGAGCTAGTATATTTGCCGAAGCAACCTTCTCGCCCCTTCTCGTCCTGCACGCCCAGTGTCAGGTATCCTTGAACACAACCTCGTTCCTGGGAACCCGTCTGTGGTATTCCGCGGGCGACGACCATGTCCCTCCGCACTTCACCCTGGCAGGCCGACAAGATGCGGAGAAAAGCTGGCGGTCTTCATGTAGGGTTAAAAATTCAAAATGCACCATCACTAGTATAATTACAGGCATGTCTCGTGGCTCGTTGACATTCTCACAACGAAAAACAGCCAGTTGCCTACAACACTGCTGAAGATACAGCCAACGACATCAGCATCATGGCTTTCGAACTGCGAGGCTCCAAGCTCATCGCCGTCATCCTCCTGGCTTCTGGCCTGGACTTCCTCCTCTTCGGGTGCGGCGAATACAATACTCGTGCAAGATAGACAGTATTGACTGACTCGGTTTTAGCTATGATCAAGGACTATTCGGCGGCATTCTAGGCGGCAAACGCTTCAAGGCGATGCTGGGTGAGCCTGGACCGACCATGACTGGCTTCGTCACAGGTGTGTACGATATTGGATGCGCGATCGGTGCAGTGGCTGCCTTCTTCTTCGGTGAAGCGATCGGACGCAAGAAATCCATCATCTACGCCAACGTAATCGTTATCATTGGCGCTACGATCCAGACAGCATGCTACTCTTATGCTCAGATGGCCGTCGCAAGAGTCATTGCGGGCGTGGGCGTGGGACTGAGTACCGTGGCGGTACCGATTCTTCAAAGTGAAACACTTCCCTCTCACAATAGGGGCGCATTACTGGTCGTCCAGTCTGCACTTATTATCATTGGAGTCGCCATTGCTTCTTGGCTCTGCTTCGCGACTCTCTTTGCCAATAGCAGTCTTCAATGGCGATTCCCCATCGCCTGCCAGATCCTCTTCTCGCTGCTGGTGCTCTGCTGCTGCCCCTTCCTGCCCGAGACGCCTCGTTGGCTATGCAAGCACAACCGAATCGACGAAGCTCGCTACACAATCTCACGGCTCCTCGACAAGCCAGAAGATGATGCAGAAGTCAAAGGCCAGCTTCACGAAATTTTGGCCAATATCGAAGCCGAGAATGAAGATGGAGAGCCTAGCTGGAGCGAAGTGTTCTCCAATGCCACCAAGGCTCGCAATCTCCAGCGTGTACTGCTCGGAATGGGACCGTACATGATGAATCAATGGTAAAATATATCGCCCCCACAAGATAACGTTGCGCTCACAAGAAACAGGTCTGGCATCAACGCACTATGCTACTACCTTGCATACATTCTCGAGACCTACCTCGACTTCTCCCAGAACATGTCTCTCATTCTCGCATCTGTGGCCTTTACGCAATACGCAATATTCAGCTGGCCGCCATACTTTTACATTGACAAGATTGGACGACGCTGGACGGTGATGTTATCTTCCATTGGCTGTGCGATTTGTATGGCTGTGATTGCAGGCTGTCTCATCAAGCAAAGCTACAGCTCGGCAGCAGCAGCTGTAGCATTCATGTTCCTCTATCTGGACTGCTTCACGCTGGGAATCTTGCCAGTCAGCTGGTCGTACAGTGCAGAGATTCAACCACTGAGAGTCCGAAACAAGGCAACGGCTGTGGGAGTATTCTCTCACTGGACGTCGAATTGTAAGTTCAGGGCATAATTATCTTCGCTCGAGATCCAATGCTAATCCTTCGCAGTCGTTGTTGTAATGGTAACACCCATCGGCCTCAATCATATCGGCGGCAACTACTTTTGGATCTGGGCCATCGTATGTGCAAGCTTTGTACCGCTGACGTACTTCTTCGGTGTCGAGACTTCCGGACGTACACTAGAGCAGATTGACGAGTCGTTCTTTGAGAACCCAAGAATTCTCATGGGACTGGACAAGAAGAATACAGTAGTCATCAAAGCGAGCAAGCAGGACGAAGAAAGCCGATTCAGAGCGCTTGCCAAGGAGGAGGAGAAGCATCCGGAGAGAGTGAGTGTCGAGCAGGTGGAGGAGAAGAGTTGAGCGACCGGGCGTGTACAAAAATTAATTACATCGGACAAAGCTGTGCTTTCAACACTGTGAACTACTTGGCGCCAATGAGCATAGCCAGGGAAACGTTTGGGTCTATACTGAGAGAGGTACAATACATCGACTCGAGGCTTGAATGTAGCGCCCAATGCCACTACACCTACTCAAATTTAACAACAACACCAGCTCGCCCTCATCTCCGCGATCTACTTTACTCTCGTCTCCTCCACTGCTCTACTCTCAACTCATACTTATACTACATACACCTCATTAATAAATCAGATAGCCAACCAGCTCGACTCCTATAAACCCCGAACACGTCAACTCAAGCACCGTATACATCCTCAATACCTCCTAGTCCATAGTCCCTAACCCTAGCAATTTAGGATAATACACATCGCAGAAACTCCTTTTACCAGCCCCTCTCCTGGGTCCTCTCATCCTTTCTAGCCTCCAAGAAGAAAAGAAAACACGAAAGCAGAAAGTCGAATGATCAGAAAATCTTTATAGTGCCTAGTAGGTTATAAGGCAAATCAAATCAACCAAGGCAATACGCGAAAAGAAGTTATTCAAAATCTATATATTTCAAGCGAGAGTTGGATGGAAAGACGAGGGATTTCGAAAAAAAAAAAGGAAAAAAGAAAGAAAAAAAAGCAAAAAGAAAAGAAAACAAGACTTAGAAGAAAGCAAGGCCTCAAAGCAAGCTGCCGCTGCCGCCGCCGAAAAAGAAGTAGCAGCAGTAGTAGCAGCAGCAGTAGCAGTAGCAGCAGCAACAGCAGCAGTAAAATCCACCGACACCTCCAATAAATAAGTTAGATTCCATTGATTTATTCATTTCTTCCCATTTCCCACCTTCGCTTACAAAAAATAATTTACTAACAACATTTGTTTTCAACTAGATAAAGTAAGTAAGAATAAGTAAGATAATTAAAGACTCCTTCTCTTCTTTCTTCTTTCGCCAGACCCTCTCTACCTTTTGTTTACCTTACGAAAAAAAGCATTTTACAAAAAGAAATGAAAAAGAAAACTAGCGGTTGTACCCTCTAGTATAGAAGTATACTGAAAGTTACCAGGTATATATATATATAAGGTATTTATACATACCTTATACCTTTTTACAGAGTTCTTGACTCGGATACTATAATCTATACTATTATTATTCTTATAATCATTATTATAGTTGCGAATCTTGTATTATTGAAATTTTATTGGTCAAGTCGTGGAACAAAAAACATGTGATGATATAAGAAATGATGATAATAATTTATACAAGCACGATTGCTAGGAGGGTTCTGGGTTGGTTGGGAAGCGCTGGTGGGTACAGAGTATAAACTGCATTGTATGTTTCCGTAGGGTGGCTTTGATGTCAATAATAATATAACTATTGTGCATCCAGGTACGTACGTATTTCCTATTCACGCCTCACGACGACGCGATACTTGTACAGCTTGTTCTCCCCAATGTGTGAAATAGAAAGCTGCTTCGAGTTCTACTCGAAACCACCAAATTCGGCATCTTTCTCTTCTGCGCTGCTATCAGCCTTTCCCTCATCCTGCAGGACTTTTCTGGGCACTTCAAACAGCACACTGTAGTTGATGCCCGCCTCCACGACCTTCCAGCTACCGAGTCGGTGCTCTTTGCCCACGGCTGCAATCACCATCACGCCATCCTTTGCACGATCGCCTCGGTCTACGATGGCCAGGTCGTTGACGATTCCAGAGACGATACCGTGCTTTTTGCTTCCCTCTGAGACCGCTTGGAGAGCACTACTCGAGAGTGCGGCTGGACTCAAGCCAAATTCATCCAAGAGGTTGTCGACTGAGCTCTCCAAACATCCCAGCCTACCCATGGACTCGATTCGGCGCTTGTCCGGGCTGAGCTTCCATACTCGGACATAGCCATCCCACGATCCGGACACAAATACGTCTGAGAATGGGATTGCTCGTAGGGCGGTGATCCATCGAGCTTGTGGTTTTGTTCTCGCGTCTTCGGTCGGCACTTGTTCCGCACTGACTTGCTCCAAGGGCAAGGGCGGATCCATGCCATGTGCAAGTGGGTAGACGTGTACAGGCTTCTTCTTGTGCACATTCCAGAGTGCAAGAGAGCCGTTATCCGAGCCAGTAATAAATGTCTCGTCATCTAAACATGCCACTCGATCCATAGAGCCCTCGTGTGGTGGATCGTGATCCGCGCTCACATCGATCCCGCTGTCGTTGTCTTTGCTTTTGTGTTTCGATATCTTTGGTGCTCCACCTCCTCGAAAGACCAGCTGACTCTCTTCAACCACCTTCCATAGTCTCGCCGTTCGATCTCTACCCCCAACGGTCACACACTTTTCCTCCGCCAACGCCGATACATCTGCCACCTCGTCTTGATGTCCGAACAAAGTCTCGACATATGTCAGCTCGTCCAGGCTCCAAATCTTCACGGTTCGATCTCTGCTTGCACTAAAAAGCTGATTGGTGCCTCTCCGGAACGCCAGACCATCTATCGAGTCTCGATGCGAGTTCTGGTAGAAGAAAGTCTTGAGCGGCCGCAGTGTCGCAGCATCCCAGATGATGAGCTTCTTGTCCAATCCACCAGTTGCGACAAACTTGCCATCCTGACTCGCAGCGACACAGCGTACAGCTTTTGTGTGATGCTCCAATTCCTGCTTGCTCTTCTTGTCGCCGAACCTTTTACTCACTGCGAGAAGCTTCGGCTTTCTGCTCCTGCCTGCCTCTCGATCTATCGATTGTAATTGCCACTTGGCAAGAATGCAGTCTTTGCCCACAGTGTATGCCAGGCCATCCTTTTCACATATTGCCACCCCAGTCACACTCTTCTGATGATGTCTAAATTGAGTGCGCTCTGCTTTGCTCCAGTCAAAGTCCTCGCTGATCCAGCGGTAGATGCGGCCTTTTGTCTCTGCCGTATCCTCCTTCAACCTCTCGCCCATGCGCCGCGCCAAATTCTCTTTGTCGACATCGGCCGCATCAAATCCCGCTTCGTCCAGGATTTCTCGCTGAGTGTTGGCCAGATATTGTTCTGCTAGTCGAATTCGTTTCGACGCCACATCCTCGTCTTCATCATCGCTCTCGTCGCTGTCGCTGTGCACTTCTAGCGCTCGATTTCGTGAAGAGGCATGCTCATCGTCGTCGTCGTCGCTTCCGGAAATGGACTCGTCGCGTACTTTGCGAGGCTTCGAGGCTGGAGCCTTGCTGTTCCTGGCAGGCGCAGGGTCGTTTGTCCTCTTCCGCTTCTTCGCAGAAGCTGGAAGTGTGAAGAAGGACGACATGGTTGTGGGAGGAGTGCAATGGGCAATTCGGGCAAGAGGTGTGGGAAAGTTTTTGGCTGCGAGGCCAAAATAAAACTATCGCCGAAGCAACTCCGAAGGCGAACTCCAACTTTTTGTGTAAATATTTGTACATGTACATGTACCTCAGAGACTTCACCTGAAGGCTATCCAATGCCACGGGACATTGCTGAACCCAGCTATTTACCACAAAACACTTGCCACTTCTGATAGATGTGATATCTTGATGAAGTATCGCTCAGGACTCACATGAATAATTTCGAGCTTCCATACGGCGCCCATCACTGCGTCTCTTCTACACAATAAATCCTTCACATCTCTCAAAGCCAATCCGAGAGAATTAAACATACAGCTCACAATCCCGACCACAACAAAACCCACCTCGAGTGCATTCTCCCCATCCTCCAAAAGCCCGAGACAACATTGAATCCAAATGAGAAAGAAAAAAACACCCCCTCCAACGAATCAATCCCACCTCTGACTTTTCATAACAAAGTCATCATCACATCATCCAGAATCCTTTTTTTACAAATATAAGGTAGCATAAAAGCAACCCAACCTCCCAAGTTTCTACAGTACCATCCTATACTGCACATACATACATACATGAATACATACATCCCATCATCCAAACCCGTAGGGCCATGTACACCGTAGGGACAAGTACATACATACATACGGACAAAACCGGAACAGGGGGCCATGGGGGGAAATTCCTAGCTCCCATCATCATCATCATCAAGGGACCCGGATGGATCTACAGTACATACTACGAAAAAGGTACCCTCGCCGTATATTTTCGTGCGTGCGCAGATGATTCGTACTGTAGGTTGTTTCGCAGATTCGGCAATTAGGTGCGGAATTGAATGACTTTTTGCCTGCTGCTTGAGGGTAGGTAGTGAAGGATGGACTGGGGTTGGGGTTGAATGGTACTGTAGTGTGTACTGCGTGCGTAGGTACATGTAGTCATTTGGTTGAGGATAGGGAATTGGAGTTGTGCGCGAATGGTTGGTTACTTACCTGGAGTGGAGTGAAGGGAAGAAGATATAGGTATGGCGAGGTGATTTACTATGATAGGTAAGGTAGGTAAAAGTAGAATTGACAGTCTGTCTCAGAGAAAAGTCCCAACCGCAAAAGAAGAAAGTGTTCGATAGTAAAAGCGATAACCGGAAAACACCCTGCTAATAACCCACACACACACTCCCCCCATCAAAAGCCGTTTTCAAGTTCTTCCAAAAGATCAATCCCGAAGTACTCTCAACGCATCCATCGTCGAGCTCTGTTTCCACACCTGACAAAAATTCTTCCACAAAGACCAATCCATAATCGTCCAATCCGCGGCTGAACTTCCCTCTAGTGTACTAGCAGCCTGACCCAAAGTAACACCAACATCATCATCAGCAGCCTTCATCTCAATTTCTCCGCCGCAGCCACGCAACGAAATAGAAGAGACAGGGGGTTGCGTCAAAAGTTGTCTTCGCCATGAAGCTTCCGGTCTGTCAATAGCAGCTTGGCGCACAGGTTGTTGTTGATTTAAATTCTTCAAAGGAGGCAAATTTTTCTGTTGTTGGTGGAATGGTCGACAGCAAGTGGTAGTATAATCCGGCAAGAAAAGCTGCAGCAGAAAAGGATGTTGATAGACTTTGTGAGCACGATGGTCGTGGTGACCGCGCCAACTTCCGCCGCGATTGTCGGTGGGGGATTTGACGAAGTGGAGGGCGTCGGTTGTGATGGGTTGGAAGAAGAGTGCTTGTTGGAGAGATCGAGAGCCTGCGACGACTTGGTGGAATTTGCGATTTACGCGTTGGATGTTGACGAGGATGTTTTGAGGGGGTAGTTGGAGGAAGATGGCTTCGGCGAGTTCGACGATGTTGAAGACGTGTTGGGCGGCTGATATCGTGGGCTATGTGATGTTAGTCTCTCTCTTTCGTTCTTTCGAGGTTATAGTATTACAAGGTGCAGACGACATACTTGCAATTTATTGAAATCGGCCATGATGCTCGAGCAACTCGGTACCTAGTTCGTTCTCTGCAGAATGCTTATTCTATCCCCAAGTGAGCTTGTACTGTACAAGTCTTCCTCCCTAATGATCTGATGGAGACTTTTGTTCAAAATATTACAAAAAACAATAAGCAAACCAGGAAAACATGGCAGAGAGTAAAACACTTATAAGTTCTCTCCCAAGCGGCCCAGGCAGTGTGTCCAAGGGGGCACGAGTGAGCCATTTTTTATTATGATGCTATCACTCGCACAGGCGAACTGTGCTCAGTGCTCAGTGCATCGGTGCGTGTTACACAGGCAAAAAAAGAAAAAGAAAAAAAAAAATAGAGGCATGCCGGACATGCTATGCAAGGAGCCGCGGCCGCATATTTCCGCTGTACTTCCTTCCCATCCATGGCCTCACCACATCTCGCCATTGCGAGACCGGCAACCGTCTTTTCATCATTTGTGGATTGATTTCCAGCCAGTCTCTCTCGGTCCCGCGTCATGAGATGGCTTGACGAGCATCCACTATGAGGTATATACTACCTTATATATACACAATTGTCTCGATTAGGATGAGGTTACGTTGTAAGTGAAAGTACCTCGAGCTTGCATTGGGATTCTACACGAGGTCGATGGGAGTACTCACACACTCAACCCGTCAGATTCATCCTTGCCTTGTTGCCGTAAGGACCCACCTTTGCGGCCCGCTCTCACTAGCAGCGCACGGCCATATCGGTGATAAGCCATCAGCAACTTTCGAAACTTTTGTTCGCAAAAACCAGACACTTTCACATCTCTCTCTCACCGTCCATACGAAACCATCATCAACAACATGGCAACAACATCCTCTCCCGACAACGGTGAAGCGCAACCCTACACCTTCGACCTCGGCAACCTGCTCATCCAAGACCCCAACCCTGTGCCCTCGCACACCACCCCCAGCGAAAAAGAATCCATCCTCAGCGCCCTCGCCCAAAAATGCGCACAAGCCCTAATCCACCAACTCCTCTCACAACCCATCACGCGCGACGACAAAGACGGAAGTTTACAAATTTCCCTCCCAGCCCCCGAATTCCCCTTGCCTCGCGAAAAACCCATTCCGAAAGAAAAAGAAAAGACCAAATGGGAGAAATTTGCCGCCAAAAAGGGAATTAAAGCTTCGAGAAAGGATGGAAAGAAAGTCTGGGATGAGGAGATGGGTGAATGGAGAGATAAATATGGATTTGGAGCGAGAGTGTTGAAGAGAAATCCGGGAGAGGTGGAGAGGGATTGGGTGCAGGAGGTGGATGAGAAAAAGGATGCTGCGAAGAAGGAGGAAGGGGAGAAGAAAGGGCATGGAGGGAAACGTAAGGGTGAGTTGTTTTTTCTCTTCCTCTTGTTGAGTTTTGGCGCGTGGAAGACAGTGAGAGGTATGTGGGAGAGTGCTAATATGAGATGTGTGATAGGAATGGGCGATAATGCGAATCGGGACAGAAAATTGTCCAAGAAGAGTCGGAAGTGATGATTCCAAGCCCCTCACCACAATTTGTGAGGAGGGTGTGGAAATAAAAGGTATACGCGCATATCTCAGGAGGGTAGAGAACTATTTACCAAGGTCGAGGTAGTTCGGAGAGGGCATTTCTTGGGTTCGGGACCTCCTCTTTTTCCAACAAACCTTCGACAACAGGTTCGCCAAAGTGACAATGGCCTCCATGAGTGTGTGTGTGTGTGTGTGTGTGAGAGAGAGAGTAATATGTCGGCAAAAGCAAACTACTCTGTCTGCATTTGCGACCAAAAGAACAACAAAAACTGGTTGTCTCTCTCACGAGAAGATGATTGCATGATACCTGAGCGAGAGGAAATTCCGTGTGCGGAAAAGCTGCGCGCATCGAAGATATACGACCGCAAATCAAAAACCAAGCGAGAGAGAGAGAGAGAGAGAGAGAGAGAGAGAGAGAGAGAGAGAGAGAGAGAGAGAGAGAGAGAGAGAGAGAAAGAGAGAGAGAGAAAGAAAGAAAGAGAGAGCATGTAATACCCATCATCCTGCAAGTCATATCTAGTCACTTTCTAAAAAATGACAACAAAACGCCGCAGAGGCGCCTCGTGTACCTAAGGTAGTTACGTACCTCTTTAGCAATCCGTGGCTGGCTTCTGTTTCCCGCCAACTCCAGCAGCAGCAGTTGAATTCGTAAAGACTCCTCCTTCATCAATGCCTAAGGTACCTAGGTAGGTACATATCAGAACTGCACCTGCCATTTCGGATGTGTCCGGATTCTCTCGCCGTAGTGATAAAACACCCATGGAATCGGACACATGGCGAGTGCAACAAATGCTAAAAGGCTATTGCCCCATCCTACATGCATCATCATCAGCATCATCATCATCAGCATGGTCAGAGTCAGAATTAGAAACCAGCATGTATCAAGCTGCATAGCTGAGGTAGGTAAGAGAGAGGTAGGTAGGTAACTTACCCAATCCCAGTCCGTCATACATTTGCAGGCCAAAGAGCGGAAATACGCCGCCGAGAATAGACCGCAACACGGTATTCGCAGCGAGCGCACTGGCTGCGTAAATGTGAAAGGTATCGACGAGATAGGTGTTGATGGACATGAAGCATGCAATCAAGCCAATTCCGACGAGAAGGGTACCGAAAATCGGGACTGCCCATTGAATGTGGTATTGTGCCGTCCAACCCTGGGGAGAAAGTCAGTACAGGTATTTCACAGAAATTCCTGGTGTCGACTACTACCTGGGGTAGGTAGGTAGGTAGGTAATCATATACTGACATAGATGATGAGTCCGATGGGGATGAGCGGACTAGTAGAGAATGAGGAGGATCAAAAGTCAGCAAACTGTTTCCAGACGTCATGCTCTAAGTTGAATTTTCTCCTTACCCAGCGTAAATGAGTGGTGGCAGGCGATATTCTGGTTTGATCTTCCCATCGCCTCCAGTACCACCATTTCTCTTCTGATCTTTGAGGGCAAGAGCCTTGGCGAGTCGGTCTGATATGGCACCCAAAACGGCAAGACCAATAAAGTTTCCCAATCCGATACCAATGTACACCAGTCCGACAATGGAAGGGCCGAAGTTGTAATTGTCCTTGAAGACAAAGGTAAAGGTGGTAAAAAGAAGGTATAAGAAGCCGTACACGATGGCCAAGTACAAACTCATGAGGCCACAGATCGGAGAGAGGAAGAGCATCTTCGTCGGGCGAACAATGGCGCGGAGGAAGAGTTGTTTTGGGGTCAAACCATTGTCGAGTTTGGAGCGAAGGTTGGGGTTATTGGCGGCCTTTCGCAGACGGGCAGCTTTGCGTTCGAGCAGGACTGGCCCGTAGGTCTCGCGCAAGATGAAGAAGGCGGGGATGGCGAGGACCGCGGTGCACATTGCGATCACGTACTGAGGCAGAGTTGTGGTTAGCGTAGCTTCTTTTGGGAAGGAGCAGATGGTTTTGGTATGATGGAAAACTCACAAAGATCCATCTCCATGATTTGGCTTCTGTGAGGAAACCTCCACATACAGGCCCTAATCAGAAAGAAATCAGCAACCCCTTTCCGGTATGTACCTCGAAACGACTGTCAAGACCCACCCACAACGGGTCCCAGCATTGGGCCCAGTGCCCAAATCGACATTGCGCCTCCCCGTTTTTCCGGCGGCATCATATCAGCAATGGTACCTCCTCCGATTGTGACGGGACACACTCCCCAGACACCTTGCAGGAACCTGTAGACGCACAATTCACCCATGCTTTGTGCTCGTCCACACGCAATGGTAAAGCCAATGAATCCCAGGTTACATGTGTGATAGACCCATAGTCTCCCATACAGCTCCGAAAGAGGCGCAATGACGAGGGGTCCAAACGCGAAGCCGAGCACGTAGATGGATACGACGAGGGTTGCGAGCACTGACGATGAAGTCTCAAATTCGCGCATCAATTCTGGCACTCCGGGGGCGAACATCGAAGATGCAAGAGGAGTGAGAAAGGTGAGGGCACTGAGGATTGCGATTTGCGTCCATTTCGTGGATGCAGGCCAGTTTTGGGGATTGGCAGCATCGTCTGGGCTGGACCAGTAGACAATGTTGGGGTCTTGCTCATCATCGTCTGCGGATGGAACCGTGCTATTGAGAGACTCGTCTACGAAAGTCGTCCTCGACTGTGGAGCGCTCTTCTCCGAGTCGTGCTCGTGAGACTGCCGCGGTTTAGCGAGCGCAATGTCAGTTGGAATGTCGGCGTCATGGCCTTCGAGATATGCCTTCTGCTGAGGTTCTGGCAGGTCGGCTCCGGCTAGGCCTGAAAGGATGTTGTTGTTGGTATGTGAAGCAGCCATCCTCGTCACCTGCCCGCGAAGGTTCGTCGGCCCGCAGAATTCCCACCGGGCCGGGCTGCACACCGAACTAGGTGGTACGGCAACTCGTTTCAGCAGTCAACGTCCACTTCACCTTCGTTTTCTCTCTGTTGCGGTATACCTGGTGGTCGATGTCGTTGTTGTCGATGATGTGGGTGAAAAAGATAGCGAATGCGGCAGCACGTTATGAGCGCCAGTCGCGGTTTCTGCAGGTGGTCGATCTTGCAGCTGCCACACATTCGGGAATACGGCACACGTCTGAGCCGCCTCGGCTATGATGTATGCATACGCACGCTCTGCATTAACGCCGTTGTTCTGTTGTGCATCAATCAGTGCGTGGGTGGTTTCCGGGTGGGGAGATGCAAAGGTCAGGTATGCGGTGAGGAGATGAAGAAGCGACGTCTATGGTGAATTGAGTCCTGTTGTGAGGCTCGGATGTATCACTACAGTGCCCTCACCTCTATTTGGCAACTGAGCTCGTTGCTCATGCAGGCCCGGCGATCACTCTCGCTTGCATGTGAATTCCGCGCGTTACATTCACTTCTCAGCTACAGGAGTCTTGGCACAAGAACTTTGGTTGGACTGGTAATGCCCTCCTGATCTGTTATCGAAGATTCGCGTGTATCGCTCATGGCAACTGTTGGCGTGCCGTCCTTCCACGAGACAGCGATGTGATGTTTTCGCATTTCACGGCTTGTAGCTATACTTGAGATGCTCGTCAACAGTCCACAGACTTGAGAGATCACATCCTTGATTCCTTCCCTCACTCTCCCTATCATAAAGGCCATCTTTCCCTCATTCACCCTATTCACCACAGAAATCCGCCCAGGACACCTTCTTCCTAGCAGGTCTCTTGTAGCATCGCATCTCTGCAAGATGCTCTTTGATGCTCAGACTTCTGGATGTGTACAGCCTGTGAATGAGAGGCGCAAGTGATTCATCAAAGACTTCTCATTTCCATCGAAGAAGCAACGGCCTGCCCCAGGCACAAGTAAGTCGGACACTTCTTCTTCGGTCAGGTCCAGCCAGCACACTTTCACCTTCCACGAGGAAGCTTCTGAACTCACTTGCCTTCCACTACCTCTCCAGCAGGTTCTGGCCAGGAAATAAGCACTTGATGCCACTCGCAAGCCCGGCAATTTTCTTGATTTATTTGCCAGAGCCTCTAAGGCCCTTTGCCATCCTCGTCACGTTACGCAGGAAGTCGCCATCGACTGCCGTAGTCGATTGCATTGCCCTTCGCCTCGATTCGGCGAGAAAATCCTCATTCTCATCATAGCTTGATCAACTCCCGAAAGTCGTAGGTCGCGGTGGTCTTCTCGCAGGTGGAAATCTCTTCGCACTCAACAAAACACCCTTGACACCTCGAATCTCCTTCTTCAGCTCCTCAATCGCATCATCCTCTTTCTTATTGTTGTTGGTGTTACTGCTATCCATCGCGCCAATGCCTCCCATAGCGCTGCTCGTCCCGTAAGCATTCTTGATCGAATCTTCAGTCCACAATGGTCCGCCCGCTGTCCCGTACAGCAATTGATCCAAGTAATGTCTAAGCTCATTCATTTTCTCCCGTCGGTCTTTGTGGGCTTCTCCAGCTTGATCGCTAGCGTCCGCCATCTCACTTATGTGGGATTCGATGATTTTGAGGCCATTTGCAGCGTATTCAACGTGCTCTTTCTTCTTTTCTTCCTCCACATTCCGGATAGTCGACTTTGCTTCAAGAGGAAGTTCGGTCTGAGTGCCCATATCACGATGGTAGAGCTCGGTAGGATCACTGAGGTCGCTGTCGTCATCATCTACATCAGAGGGCATAATTGTGCCGCCCGGTTGCTTGCTGACGAGTTTAGAGAGGCGGGAGTTGAGCTCATCGACCTTCGATTGGCTATGGGATAGGAAATCATGACGAGATTCATGGAGCGTGTCAACCATGGGCGTGACGATATATTTGCTGGCAGCATAGAGAAGAGTAGATATGCCGCCCGCGACGTAGAGTGTGTTGAGCACGCGGGTCGGAGTAATGAGTGGTGGCGGCTTGTGGGCTTCGACGAGGAACTCGGGATACGTGATGATAGGCGGTGCTGTGTGCGTGGCTTGCTGCTGCTGCTGTGGTGGAGGTGTATTCCTTTGCTCCACTTGTCGTTGTTTGAAGTCGGCAAATTCGTCTCTCCCAAAGACACGCTGGAATCTCGCTATGTCTTCTTTCTGGGTGCCTACACTCCCCTCCGCCGCTTCTGCGCCTCCATCTTTCTCCTCACTCGAAACAGTGCCTTCCTTCACATCCGCCTCCATCTCGCTCTCCTTCTCCGGCTGCTGTGGTTTGCTGTAGACCGGATCGTCAACTGGCGCTGGCGTTGGCTGAGCTGCCCGCTGCCATGCTGGTATCTCCACCTTGGGCTTCCCATTCGACATGGCGGGCGTATACCAAGAGCGATGATGTGGTATGGTATGTGAAGTAGGGAGGATGATCAACGTGGAAGACGTGAAGCTTCACATGGGCCGAGGCTGCTGGAGAATGGCTTGGCATCCATGTGCTCCACTCCCCTTCTCTCACCTTGCTCCATCATCCATGGTCCATCCTGATGTCCTACAGTAGCCAGCCACAAATACATTCATATTATTATGCTCAGCTCCTGCTCAACCCTCGTCCAGACAGAGCCTGTTAAACGAAGTGAAAGCAGAGTACCCGTCGGGCCATCGGCACATGACCGCCCGAGCCCAGAAGCCGTACGATCAGATAGCAGGCGTGCCTGGGCTATCACGCATATCGGCCACAGCTAAAGGCGATCAATGCCGACGGCAGGTCAAGTACTTTAGCATACGGTATCCTTTCTTTGCACTTCACTTCCATTTGTAACTCACACGTCCTAGAAGCAGAGAAAATCAAAACAGAAGCACCTTTATCTGCTGTACATTAACCCACAAAGATCAAGCAGAACTAAGACATCAAGACCATGGCCGAATCCACAACATCCTGGCAAGAGAAAGCGGCACGCAAGAGAGCAGCCGAGCTCTCTAAGATTCCCCCAGAATGGCGTTTGGCACCTGAATATATCACCGGTGATGAGACCTCCTCAATCAGTGTCCTCGATGTGCCGGCCAGATGTGGGATCTTGACTCAAGCTGAGTTGTCCATCACAGACCTCAACGCCAGTTCTCTGGCCAAGGCAGTCCAGTCAAAGACGTTGACAGCTGCAGCAGTGGCCACTGCTTTCTGCAAGCGCGCGGCAATCGCACAGCAGCTCACGCAATGCCTGACCGAGACTTTCTTTGACGATGCGATCAGGAGAGGTCAGGAACTTGATGCCTACCTAGCAGAGCATGGCAAGCCCGTGGGTCCACTTCACGGGGTACCGGTATCGATCAAGGATTCTTTCAAGTACCGTGGCGTCCAGTCTACGCTTGGTTTCGTATCGTTCTTGGACAATCCGCCCGATGATGAGAATTCCGCTTTGGTTGACACATTGCTCGATCTTGGTGCTATACTATACTGCAAAACAAATATCCCCCAGACCCTCATGACAGGTGATAGTCACAACAATGTATTTGGCAGAGTAATGAATCCGCACAAGCTCAATCTTGGAGCTGGTGGATCAAGCGGAGGTGAAGGCGCACTCGTAGCCCTCAAGGGCTCGCCAGTGGGTGAGTTCATCAGGCACAGCTTTTCGATCCTACTTTGAAATGCCTGCTGACGGCTTCCTAGGCATTGGCACAGATGTAAGTCTCTGCTGATACCAGATCAGGCACATGCGGCCCACACTGACAAAGCATCAAGATTGGAGGCAGCATTCGTATCCCGGCTCTATGCAATGGAACATACGGCTTCAAGCCCACTCCAAACCGCGTTCCGTACGGCAACCAAACATCGTGCTCAGCCAGCGGCTCACCAGGGTTTCCCGCCTGCGCAGGCCCACTCACCAACTCCCTTGAAGACACAGCAATGATGATGGGGGCAATCCTCGCTCAAGAGACAGCTGTTTGGGACCGAGACGGCTCGGCAATGTGCTATCCCTGGCGAGCAGCCGTTGCGGACCACAGTCCAGCCAGAAAGCTCCGCATTGGTTATTACGTCGAAGATCCATCCTTTCCCACTCACCCACCTGTCCGGAGAGCTCTGGATGAGTCAGCCAAAGCTCTTGCGGCGGCTGGGCACGAAATCATTGTGCTCAAAGACACCCCCTCCGTCAAGACGGCGGCCGACCTGGCAGCGTCATACTGGTCCATGGACAACAGCAAGGTCTGGTTGAAAAACATCGAAAGTAGCGGCGAGCCTATCATTCCATCGTTACAAAAGACTCTTCATCTCGTCCTAAAGAAACCAGAAGGCTATACACTCGAAGAACTCTTCGAGGTGAATACTCTGGTAGCGGCATACAGACCTCTTTGGAACGATATCTGGGTACAGAACAAGTTGGATATCATCATGGCCCCGTCAGCTCAGACGACTGCTCTGCCACATGATTGTTTTGGCGTGGTGCACTATACCATGGTGTGGAACTTGTTGCAGTGGCCTGGCCTCATCGTACCACTAGGCAAGGCGGATAAGGAGATTGATCGAGAAGAGTTGGCGAAGCCTGATCCGGAGAGTGGGAGAGTTTGTGAGTCGTGTCTGGAGTACAGTATGCCGTGTGCAGGAATGCTTCGCTGACGTCCAATCTAGATCGCAGTGAAGATGTGCATGGCGCGCCAACATCGATCCAGCTCGTGACGAGGGCCATGCAAGACGAAGAGCTGATCAGCTATGCCAGGGTGATTGATAAAGTCCTGCACGCGGCGAAGTAGCATGTCCGGACTACGGTCTGTCTAGACTTTACTTACAAGCCATTGACGATTCCCTTCGTAAGAGTGCAGATATATAAGAAGGTCGAGTACATACAATCACCTGTATAGATACTATACTTCTGCGTATACGAATAACTGTATCTTCTCTACGTGACCTTATAGTATCGATATAAGCTTCCTTTGACTTCACTTGACTTTTTGCCCAGTCTTCGCCCTAGAAAAGCGCAAATCTCAGTGTCCATCGCTCTCTGGTCACGCTCGGCAAGAAATATACCAATTGCTTCGTCACTCGGCATGATGTTCGTTTGTATTGATGCCTGAGGTTTGAACTGGAAGTGCTGGGAAATATGACGTCTGGAGTTTGCACTCCAGTGGAGACTCCCGCCGTCACACTTACATCGCGCCAGTCACGACCGTATTATTCACTTCACTTACCAAACTCTCTTCATTCATTTACAGCTACCTCCATCAAACTCTCTTCATTGATATCCACGAGAATCAATTCAGCCCAGGCGGGTCATGGAGTCATCGAAATGGCCAGCGGCCAACGCCACGCCCGGCACTCTACACTACATCCCTCCCAACCTGTCTGCCTTTGAGCCCAGCAAACCACTTTCCCAGCCCAGCGACAGGATCAATACGCTGCTCTGGGTCGGCGGCATGTTCGACACCTTCGGGTCGGTAGCCTACCCTTTTGTTCTGGCTCATTCCCTTGGCCCCAGCTGGACTCTAATGACTGCCGCTCTGTCCTCGGCAGGCCACTCCTGGGGCACTTCGACCATTGCCCGAGACGCAGAGGATATGGCCAAGATAGTAGCTTACATCAAGGAGCAACGCCCGAATGGGAAGGTCGTGATCATGGGCCATAGCACCGGCTGCCAAGACTGTATGGAATATGCAGTAGGCAAAAACTCGGATGCGGACCGGAGACCAGCTGTGGATGGACTCATCCTGCAAGCTCCCGTGTCGGATAGGGAGGCTTTACAAAAGGAGCTGCCTGAAACTTTCAAGCACGAAGCTGATCAACTTGCTTTGAAGATGTGTCGAGAGGGCCACGAGAAAGAGGTCATGCCAAGCCGATTGACGAAGAGCGTCTTTGGCAGACTTGCGATCACGGCTCGAAGATGGGTCGACGTCTCCTCGCCTGGGCCCGATCACAACGGAGCTGATGACTACTTCTCAAGCGACTTGCCAGACGAGAGACTGAGCGGCACATTCGGCAAACTTCCCTCCAGGACGCCACTGCTGATCCTGTACTCTGGAAACGAGGAAAACGTACCAGATTCACTGGACAAGGAGAAGCTGGTGCAGAGATGGATTGGCATTGTCAAAGCTGGCAGTGGTTCCATCGACGAGAACTCGGGACTCGTCAAGGGAGCAAGTCATAATCTGAATGGCAATCCCGAGGAAGTAGTTCAGGATTTGGTAAGGCGAGTCAATGCCTTTCTTGCTCGCATGAGTGCTTCCTCTGCCGGTGTGCCTAGGGCAGGAGCTTCCCTGCTCCAGAAAGATTGGTGAAGCAGGACACCAACTGTCCATAAGGTATATATGCTACACTGGTTGCGCTGCCAATCTCATCTACTCTAGCCTCCGTCTCTAGGGACCTGGTTGCTTTTCCTGATCGACCTGCGATCTGCTCCTGCAAGAGAGCCCGCTTCATAGAATGCATCGTCCAGGGCCATGGCATGCTGTCCTGTCCAGATTGTTCATCTCTTGCGCCCAGTCACGAACAATGCGCGGTATTAATGATCGCGTCTGGTGTTGAAGGGGATCCTCGTTGCATGCAACTAGGCATGTGTGGCTCCCCACGCCTGCCAGATCAGGCCATCCTTATTACCCGCGATGAAATCCCCAAAGCTTCGTCTCCAGAAGCAAATTCGCACGCAGGGCGGGTGCCGTGCCTTACACAGATGAAGAGAGGGCTCACAGTTCGAGCTCTTCGCTTCCAGTCACCACTGCCTGGAGAGGTTTGGCGACAGCGTGGACGGGTCTCAGTGTCGTAGCGCGCTGATTTTGAGTCTTAGCGATGCCAACTGACTGAGTAACTGTTGAGGTGAGTGGGTGCTGCGGCTTCAGGCTGTGCGAGAGCGACTTGGGAATGATCATGCCGACCTGGGGTGACTCGTATTGCTAAGGGGAGCCTAGAAATTCAGTGACAACGATGATCGTGTTCGCGGTCGCTACGATCTAATTTCGCAAACTCAGACGTCTCTGATTGACATTTTTATTGTATGTGTGTAGGATGCCCATGGAAAGTTACCACGGTACGTCGAATGATGTTGGATGAAATCAGCATGCCAGGCGGGCGCAATCCATGACAATCCATGACAAGCGGAGGAGTTCGCGATGCACGAGTCAGAGCTTAGTCACGAACAAAGTTTACACGAAACCAACCGACACCTGTCACCTTGTCGATGAGGCTTCGAGAACCCATGAGCGTCCAACGTGGCAGCTGGCAACATTGCCTCGATGCGCACGTTCCGGCGAGAAAAAGAGGGAAGCGTGCAGAACCTTGACGAAACCATCACATGCTTAGTAGCCGGCAATCTGCTGTCCTAGGATACACGGACTGTATGTCGACAAACCCTCCCCCCCCGACGACATAGCAACTATCATCATAGCTATCCCATGTCCGAAGCATGGCAACCAATTCGAGCGGTATCCTGCACATGTTCGTCGCCATCGCAACACGCGACATGTTGGCTCAGGAAAAGCAGGATAGATTCTGGTATGCAACAACTACCGTCCATACCTCCTCTAGGCGTGTGAGTTGTGAGATGCGGTCACTTTAGTGCGTAGGAGGTACAAGGATGTGCGGGCTCGAAGTTCCAACTACCCCAGTCATCCGCAAGCATCCCATTATAGTTCACCCATGGGCCCCTTGGACCCCGAGATTACCAGCTCGTGTCCAGCACCGCCTGTTTCCTTTCCCTCATCTCCTCCCACACGCTGCCAGATGCTTATTACCGCGCCCAACTTGTCCGAAAGGTGGGTTCTCAAACCTAAGTGCGATATAATCCGCTGTAAGTGCTGACTGGGTACCGCTTATACAGTGACTATCGGTCATAGCCAAGGAATACAGAGCCACCATTGGATAATAGCGGTATTCAACCGAGACCGGGAGGGTACGAAGCGACATTGGAAACAGGCCGCGCAGTCCTGCATGCACCGGATCTCGAAGTAGAATCGAACCCAGCATCTAGGGCGCTAAGCTCAGCAAGTGAACGAAACAGGACCTCGTCCTTATAATAACAACACACCCAGGTACTTGTCCATAAGCCCCTACCACACCTCGTTCTCTTAGATCATCAGCTGCATTCCCTTATAGTCGCTCGTTCACAGCCAACTCTCCCACACTATAATATTCGATCCAAGATCCCTCATCAGCATATCCAGACCGTTTATCCTGCCACTCCACACCCGCAACAATGAAGTCCTACATCTTCGCCGCTGCCGCCCTCGTCGGCGCTGTCGCCCAAGGAGCCGTAATTAGGCGTGAGGACTGCGACGAAACCACCAAGGCTCCAGGCGGACCGGTTGTGAGCACCGCTGAGACCAAGCCAGGCAACACCCTTCCTTGCGGAGCCACCAGCAGCAGCGAGTACACCGTGAAGGCCGGTAACACCTTGTTCCAGATCTCTGACGAGACTGGTGTCGGTGTCTGCGACATTGCTGCCGCCAGCGGCATTGACAACATCAACCTCATCTACCCCGACCAAATCCTCACCATCCCCATTGGCTGCACCACCACCGACAACACCACTTGTGTCACCACCCCAGACACGCCCGCCACCGACACTTGCGTCAAGGGTCCTCCACCAACCTACACCGTCGTCAGCGGTGACACTCTTGGTGCCATTGCAAAGGACTTCGAAATCACTACTAACGCTCTCATCTCTGCCAACTCGCAAATCAGCAACCCAGACGTCATCTCCATCGGACAGGTCATCAACGTTCCCATCTGCCCTGGAAGCTCTTGCAAGTCTGTTGACGACTACACCATTGTTTCTGGAGACACCTTCTTCGACTTGGCCAGCAAGTCCCAGACTACCGTCGGACAAATCAAGGCTTCCAACCCAGGTGTCAAGCCAGAGACCCTCGCCGTCGGCCAGGTCATCAAGCTTCCTACGGGTTGCGCATAAATCCTCCCAGAGCGTTTTTACTACATTCTTTCAGAAGTAAAAAGTGCCTTGGGTGATGATGAGAGCGTAACAGGAATGGTTTTGAGGAGGATAATGCGAAAGGGGAGGATAGGGGGGCAAGTAGTTGGATGGCGAAATGATGGAGGATATCAAAAAGAAGAAGAAGAAAACCCGGACAGACAGACGTTTTGATGTAACATGCTTGTTGTTATGGTAGAAAATGTTTTTTTTTATACAGATTTTTTCTTATTGACCATTTCGATTGTATGATCAAGATGTTTTGTCTGAAGGACCAAAAAACCCCCCTGGCTCCTGTCTCTGCTGCTGCTCGTTTACTATTGTTGTTGTTGTTTTTTTCGATGGGGTGATTTGTGTTGCTTCTTTTTTCTCCTCCTAGTGTGACGGGAGAATACGATTTGAGAAAGTGAGAAAAGAAAAGAAGAAGAAGAAATCCGCTGTTGAACGAAATCATGGACTTGACATTACGAATCCTCCTCTTGTCTCTGTTTTGCGTATATCGAAAAACTGATAAACATTGAAAACAGAGAGAAACAGAATATTCCGCTTTAAGATGGGTAGGTAGGTATGTACACAGGCACATTTTTCTTTTCTTCTAATTCTTTGATTTTTTTGGATTTGATCGAGATAGAGTAGAGGACTGGCGATATGGTCCGTCTACTCAAGTATGTATTGTATATGTATCTACCTATATGTACCATTTCTATGTAGGATTAATCGATTGATTATGAAATGTAGCTACAGCTAGAGTTTATAGATATACTCTCTTCAAAACGATCATTTCGGTCGATGTTCGACGTTCTTCGTGCTTGATTCTTTATTCTTCTCTCTCTCTCCCTCTTCTCTATCCTCCATTCCTTCTCTCTTCCCCATCCTTTCTCTACCCACCGTTTCATCCCCTCCCTTCTCCCTAGTTCACACAACAACTCCACTCCACTTCACTTCACGAACAATAACAGTAAGATATGATCACCATTCGGCCATCCGCGGATAGATGATCCTACTCCTTTACCCAAACACTAGAAAGTCTGACATACATACATACATACATACCTACCTACCTACCTACCTACATCCATCCACAACTAATACGCATACGCATACGCATACGTATTCTCACAAAACACCCACCCACCTACCTATCCCGAAACTATGACCATACAAATCTACTAATCCAACTAAACCAGTCTCATCAAAGGGCCAAGATCTCCAAGGTCCTCAAAGCCAAGCTTAGGTCCCAAGACTCCAACCGTCCAAGCTCCAAAAAAGTCAGAATTTCACCCCCCTGTTTAATACTACTACTGCTTGCTACTGCTTGCTGCTTGCGGGCTGGTGAGCTGAATAAACATCGATCTTGCGTTTACCGTTTTGGGGGTTGTTTTGTTTGTTTGTTTTGTTTATTTTTTTCCATGTGATTCTGTTTCTTTCTTTCTTTCTGTTTCTTTTTCGTTTTCTTCTCCCTCCCTACCTCCCTCCCTCGTGCGCTCTGTCCCTCTCGTGTCATAGTATCACATCGTTAGATCGATCATCTATCTGCATAGGTAGGTAGTAAGATAGGGTCCGTATGTATGTAAGTAGGGAGGTAGGTAAAAGATTCCATAAGCTAAGGTAGGTAAGCTAAGGTGGTATACCGGTAAAGATTCCATAAGGTAAGGTAAGCTAAGGTAGGTAAGGTAAGCCAAGGAGGTAGGCAAGTACATAGTTCTGAAACTTCTTGCCATAACAATGACTGCAATAGGAAATAATACCGACTCGCCTATACTATAGTGTGATGTCCAGGTAGGTGGAAAGGCCCTGCTGCTGCTGCTGCTGTGTCTTATAGGAAGGTCGCGGAAGAAGAGGCTTACACCTTAGGGGGCGAGGGATGGATACCTAGGTTTTTGTATGCTCTCTCTCTAAGAATATGAATGTGAATGATGATAATGTACGGGATCTGACTGTGCTATAATCCATCAACTTTCGCTTATGTTGTCATATCGTATTGGTGGCGATGGTGGTGGTGGTGATTTTGGCGAGGTCGAGTGGGACTGTTTCAGAGTCATCAATGTTGGGATTGAAAGGTCGTACCAAAATCGGCCGATGGCTACCTGACCACCACATTCTCAAGTATGACATCGACAGCAAGAATAATTCGCGCACGCGCGGTGTGTATCTGCTCATTTTCGTTTGAGAATACCCTTCAAAGGCTTTCGCTTGTCATCTGGAAGTAAGCGGGTGTCCTTACTCGAGGCATGAGCATCAGCATAGTCATTCTCCTCCTGCACCGACTCGGCTTTTTGTCTGCGCGTCCATTGTAGGCTCTTCCTCCTCGCCTTCTTCGCAGCATATCGCTTCTGACCCGATATCAGAGGATTGGCGCAAGAGATGCCCAATTCATGGGCATCACAGGCTAAGAATTGTCCGCATAAGGAGCACAAAGACGACGTACCGTCTGCAACAGCACGTGAATGATGTTCGACGATAGTTCGAGAGGACACCGACTTTATCGCATTCTTGGATGACGATAACACATCATATCCACGAGCCGGTGTTGGCGACATTGGCGAAATCGGGAGGGGTGAAGTAGGCGGAGTTGCCTCCGCGGCCTGTACAGATCGAAGTGGCGATGGCGTGTGCGATCCATACTTGACTGATGAAGACCTCGGAGGAGATGAATGAGGCACCAGCCGAGCCGTGATGTCCGCAAGAGGTACTCGTCTTTGCGCGGTGTAGGTGCCACCAGCGGCAACAACGCGTGTCTGACAGTCACTCGGGATGGCCACGGCCACGGCTTCGGGCGGTTGGAACGAAGCGTTCAATGAGCAGATTGGTCTTGTCAAAAGCAGCTCTGTGCAAGGTGATGCTGGTTGTAGAGAGACTGCCTCAAGTTCCTCAGCGAATGCCCCAGAAAAGATGCATCCTGGATTCACTTTGGCAGTTTGATGAACCACGTCGGGGTCCTGCGCTACCATCGCAGAGTCATCTTGTTCAACTGAAGCGGCATTCTGATCAACAGGCGCGCGAGAGTCCGGTCCATATTTTTCGCATACCTCTGCGGTGCAACAGCGCTTTGCCGGTGACGTTACTTCGTCCTCGCCGAGCATAGCAGCAGCATCCACTAGCTTGCGCTTCTTTGACAGAGTCCTTTCTTCGTTTTCCTTCCCACAAGAAACTTCGTTCAAGTTCGCAGCTCGCTTTCTTCGCAGCGTTTTTCGCTGACGGCTCTTCTTCAGACGACATTCCCAGCAAAAGGAACTGCCGTCCGCCACGAGCCTGGTACCGCTGTGAGCAAGATTCCGATTGTTCAACACCTTGGCCCGTTCAACATTACACAAACGAACCAAAGACTTCTCACTGGGCCTTTTACAATTGGCTGTGGCGCAGGGCCACGGTACCAGATCCGCCTGGCATGCGGCATCTGCAGCGCGCGGTGTGTGAAGCGCTGGGTTGTCAATTGAGGTACAAGCCTTTGCGTGCATGCGCTCACGAGTTTGCTCATGGCGTATCACGTCGACACGACGCTGGAGAGCAGATCCAGATTGCGCTACAGCGGTCGTTTCAGGGGCTTGTAGGTCGCCCGCCTTGAGCATAAGAGCCTCGTGACGAGAAGCCGCCACAGTCGCAGCTCGACACTCGTTCTGCTGTTTATCTTTTCCGCTCTCTGCAGCGCCAGACCCTTCTATTTCACAGTTCCCTCCTGTCAATTGCGTCTTCCTATTTGGCTCCAAAACAGCTGCCATGCCATTCTCGCTCCGAACTTTATTGCGGCAATTCCGCTCCTGCGAACAAGCAACGCTGTTCCTCGTGACAAGTGCTCTCTTGATAGGGCCCGGCTTGTCAGGCGCAGGAGCCAAGAACACGATTGAGGAAATACCTGTTCTCAATCTGGTGCCCAATTGCGTAAGAGAAAATGGTATCTGATCGGGTCTAAGTCGCTCGCCCTCGATGACAATTTCAACATTAGAACCCGGAGGCCGCCCTTGCCCCGAAGAGTGCACAGACAATGGCTTCCCCTCAGGTATAGTAGTAGTAGCCATAACCTTTCGTAGTGGCTCTGAAATGTCTCGCGACCGAGATTGTATTGTTCCACCAGCCGACTTTGTTGCTCTTTCAGGACCCACCAAGTCGACCTTCTCCCACCCAGATGCCTCCTCTCTTCTCTCCTGATTCAATCCCTCCCAATCCGGCATCTTCCCCTTCATTTTCCTCGCCTCTTCCTCGAGTCCACTCAACAGCTCTTTTCCTCGAAAATTCGACACCCTTACTCTCCGCCCAATATCTTCTAGCGGTTGCAAATTCTTCATACACCTTCCACCCGCCGCCCGTGTAGGTGTAATAGCTTCGTTGTTATCATCGTCGTCATCGAGTGCCAAAGACTCAGGGGAAGAAGATTCGACTTCGTATTGCGTGCGTTTGGGAGTCAATCTTATCGCCCAGACTTGGATCGGGTCTTGAAGGACGTATGAGAGGGGATCATAGGGACTGTATCGATCGCGATGGAGTGATGTGAGCGGAGAATGTGTTTGTTGTATTCCAAGGGGAGGAGGATAGGGTTGGTCGGGGAGTTCAGATGGCATTTTATTGTTCTTGCGGAGCGGAGGAGGGGTTGAATCGCAGAGGTCTTCTTCTTTTTGGAATAGAGGCGAGGAGGCTCGCGAGGCGTCGGGAGTGGGATACGGACAGAGAGAGGAGTATTGCTGTTGGGGTTGAAGTGGTTCAATGTCGTTTTTGGGATTGGGGCTGGATGGGACGCTGTTATGATGTATAACGGCTTCCTCGGCTTCAGACATCGCTGAACGGGATTGTGGCTCAGAGCTCTGGATGTCTTCGATTATAGACATGAATGCCTCGTACTGTGGTTCAGAAGTCGATGCTGCGTCTTGCTGAGTTCCATCCTGCTCGTCCATTCTGCTCTGGTCTGTCTGCAATGGTCCGAGGACGTAGCTCGTGACGACTACAGCCAGCCTATAAGATGCATCACTCGGCGTGAGTGATCTCTATCATGGAATGCTCCCAGCAATATCGTTCTTTGCCAATCTGGAAAAATCAGTTCTGAGTGGGTCGCGCGAAGGACAACAACGCGGTTCGTCTAATTCATGATACAGAGTGAGTATACTCGTTACCACGAAAATGACACGCCCTAACGCGTGCGCGTCAAGTTCAAGTTCATGAAGCTCCAGGGCTTGCAATGCTGCTGCTTTGCCCCTGGCGAGATTGTGCCAGGATGATCTAAGTCAAATCTCAAATGAGAAGCACGGACAGCCTCGTGAGATCTCCCCGAAAGCGTGTCTCCTGAAGTCGTATCGTCGGCTCGATCCATACCCCAACTGTGGATTCTTGTTCGTAGTCTAGGTATGTACAATCATGTCTGTGACGTTCCACTATCGCGCGTCGAGTCAATACGCAATGAGCTGGGTAGGATCCGAAGACAAGAAAAGCAGCGCCAGAGTCGCCCTGATAGACTTGTCACACCAATATGGCTGAAGCTGGGATGGTCTTTTGAGACCAGACTGGACAGCGCAGCATGATCACCCCCGATCAGACTTGCTTCTCTTCAAATCGCCATCACCACCACCGGCAGCATCTTCCGCCGTCCCACTGACACTGCTCTCACCATTCCGAGCAGGCACGAACTCCACTTTATCCCTCTCTCGCAGTCTCTTCTTCTCTCTCCTCTCATTCTGCTTCATCAGACCTTCGACATAACAGTCTTCGGGCCACTTCACCGGCACAGCCACCTGTTCGCTCAAACTGCTCGCATAACTCTCTTCTCGAGTGATTCCCGCAAAGTCCATCAACTTTGGCAACAAGCTTGGGTTTCTCAGGCTTGCAGAGGTTTGTAATCGCTCGTTGAAATGGACACCTTGCCGCTTGAGTTCGAGAAAGCGCTCAAACTTCTTGGTCGTGGCAGCTAGCACTGCTGCTTCTTCGCTGTTGTGCGGAGGTGGAGGTGGGGAGTCGGGGATCTCGAAGTTGGGCACGGTGGGCATGGTGAGCTCCCGTAAGCGCTGGCGTTCATAGGTATATGGGTCGAAAGGCAGGTCGTCTTCGGAGGGTCCAACAGGATACGATGGGCCTGCCGCAGGTCCTGGGGCTGGGCCATGGACTGCTGGAGAGGTAGATGTCTCTGAAGCTATTGGCTGTGGTACAACAATCGATGCGTGCTGTGCTTCTTGTGGCTGCTTGAGCGCATCTTGGTAGAATTAGCGCTTTGCACACCAGAGCAGCAGTAGTAGATGACAGACCATCATTCGCGATTGTCATCGACACAGGCGCATCAGTGGCCGTCTTTGCCATCTAGCACTCTCGCTTGTTAGTAGGCATTGCACCCGTCCTTTTCAGCGGTGTTCAGACATAGCAGTGGCCTGCCTACCTTGGCGCGCTTTTCCGGTCGAACCTCATCATCATGTTCTTTTTCTTCTTCCTCGTCGTCGCTGCTCCCGTATGCCACCAGCGCGTTCATAGTGTGGACAGTGGCAGGCCGCAAATGAGTGGATTTCAGAGATAAGTTGTGTTTTTCGCATGTGATATTCTACTTGTAGCGGTATTCGGTAGAGTTGCCTTATTGGGCTAGTTCCAGTCCGACAGCTTGACGCGCTTCACCTCGCCGCCTGCATTGCCAGCTCCATCTCCATCTACGAACTACAACACACATCCAAACCACATCAGCGACACCGACCACCACCACCACCACCACCACCACCACTTCTGAAATACCACCCCACCACCACCACCCTCGACAGCCCTTTCGACACCCGCCGCATACCTCCACCGCCAGCATGAACCACCTTCCTCACGGCTGGGGCAGAGTACGTCCATGTCTCATCTTCCTTCCACACACCTCCCATCCCACCCATTGACCATCGTGTTTACAGCCCCGCGACGACGTCTACGGCAGCTACAACTCCTCCTACCTGCCCCAGTCCCACGGCGGGACTCAACAACCCATCACCCACACGCAATCACCCATCGTGACGGGTACCTCAGTAATCGGCCTCAAATTCAAATCCGGCGTCGTCATCGCCGCCGACAACCTCGCATCATACGGCTCCCTCGCCCGCTTCACAGACGTGCACCGCCTGAAACCTTTCAACCGCAAAACAGTTGTGGGCTTTGGCGGCGATGTTTCGGACATGCAATACATCGATCGCCTCCTCCAATCCCTTGACATCGAAGAGACGTACGGCACAGCCTCCCACGAAGATGAGGGAGATGCGATCATGTCCGCCAAGAACCTACATACCTACCTCGCAAAAGTCATGTATAAGCGTCGAACGGACTTCAACCCGTTGTGGAATGCTCTGTTGGTGGCGGGGTTAGACGAGAAGAATAAGCCTTTCCTGGCGAGTGCCGATCTGCTGGGGACAACCTTCTCTGCCCCGACTCTGGCTACTGGGTTCGGCGCGCATCTTGCTCAGCCCATCTTGAGACGAAGTGTGCCGGATGAGGCGGCCAGTCAGAAGCTGGAGAGGGCAGATGCGGTCAAGGCGATCAAAGATTGCATGAAAGTCTTGTTCTACAGAGATGCGAGATCGATGCCGGTCTACAGTATTGCGGTGATTGATGAAAAGGGTGTGGAATTGCACGAGGATGAGAAGCTGGAGGACCAGAGCTGGGACTTTGCTGATCGCATTCGAGGATACGGTACACAGACGGTTTGAGCGAGAATCAGATCACAAACTATGCCACGAGTTTGGAATTGAAAGCTGGTGGCGCGTCAAGAGAAGAAATGGCGACACGATTCAGCTGGTATCTTCGCCGCCAGAAGCTGACGGTATTTGGCGCTGTATAACTACATACAATGAATGCATCCTCTGAGCGAGTGAGTCCGTCGGGACTACTGCGATGCTACAATGCGAAACCCTTATGACATGATTACAACCTACCTATGAAGCCTTTCCTTCTCTCGTAGTCCAACCAACGAAATATGCCCTCGTCTTCAACCATCATCATCATTCTCAAACCAATCCATCACTCTCAATAACCACATGATGATGATGACGTCCTTGATCCGATGCGCTCCTAGCCTTCTCACTCTCTGTCTTTTCCTTTGAAGTCTTCTCCTCCATCTTCTTCTCCACTTTCTTCTTCTTCTGCACAGCCGGTGAACTCTTCACCTCATCAATCTCCACCGAAGGCGATCTCGTCATCGTTGTCTTCGTCGCCGTTGTCTTCCTGGTATTATTATTATCATTCTTCTTCTTCTTCGGTCCCATAGTCATCTTCGTCATCTTGTTATTATTGTTGCCCGTGGCAGTAGCCATAGCAGTAGCAGTAGCCGTAGTCGTATTTGTAGTCCTAGCCTCAGCTCCAGCCGTATCCATAGCCTCAGCTCCAGCCGTATCCATAGCCTCAGCCTCAACCTCAGCCTTGGTACTTGTAGTCATACCCCTAGTAGTACGATTCCCATCCTCCATCCCCAATTTCCGCGAAATTTGCACTTGAGCTATTCTTCTTCTCGGTGGAGGAGGAAGAGGAAGAGGAGGTTGGTGGTGGTGATTTGTCGCAGTAGGAGGTTTTTTATTGGCGTAGTTGAACGGAAGGTCGAGGATTTCATCGTCATCATCTGAGGATGAGGAGGATGAAGATGAGGAAGAGGATTGGATAGGAGTGTCGTTGGCGGGGTGGGGGAGATTGATGAGACCACCAGTAGCAGCAGTATCATGAGCACGACGAGTAAGGCCAATGCTGGCTTTGGTGGGTCGGGGATTGTGCTGTTGCTTCTGCGGCTTGAGAGTCGAAGGATTGGGTCTTTCGGTGATGGTGTTTGCGATGATGGGTTCTTTGGTCGTCTTGTTGGTGAGAAGGACGTCGTCATCTGCTGTCCCGTCTTCTTCTTCTCTTCTCTCCGGTTTCTCTGGACTAGGAACATCTGGTCCATCGGCTAGCTTCTCGAGGGTGACCTCTCCTTCTTCTTCTTCTTCTTCTTCTTCTTCTTCTTCTTCTTCTTCTTCTTCTCCTCCTCCTTCTTCTTCTTCTTCTCCTCCTTCTTCTTTCTCATCCCCTCCATGATCCTGCGAAGTAGAGAAATCCATATCGCCTTTATTGGCCTTTTCAATCTCTTCCGGTGTCGCACGTCTCTTGGCTCCAGTGACAGGATCCCAAATCCAACCCTCTTTCAACCACATCCATCTCAAACAAGCCCTCAATTCCTTATCCTGCGGCAAAACTCTCTTCCATTCGGGTTCAAAGGAGAACACTTCTCCTTTTCCCTCTCCCTCTCCTTCCTCTTTCGTAGAGCGAGAGCAAGGATGAGTAGTCGTTCCCAAATAATCCGTCGCAACAACACCGCGTAAAACATCACGACAGAAGATTCTCCAGCTATCGTATGCGTAAGCGCCACAGCCTGGCAAGTGGGCGATTTCGAGAGCACCGGCACAATCTTCCACGTCGCCTTCAATGACTTGTCCCGATTTGAAGTGTTTCCCATCTCCTTTGCTCGGATAATGCAGCGTTCTAAACCGCCGACCCTTGCGAGGAGGATCTTTTTCCCACGCTGCCGCTAACAGTTTCAATCGCTTTGTTCTCTGATGCTGGAAACCGAGGTGTTTGATCATGTGGAATAGTTCGTCGTAATCTGCCTCGGCAAGTTGAGCAGGTGTGTTCCATTTCTCGCGGATCTTCCAGAATGTGGGAGCGGCTTGACGACCGGTGGTTTTGTTGAGAAATACCGTCGCGATGATGAGCCAGAATGGTTCGTGACAGGTTCGTTCTTGAATGATTCCAAACAACGGACTGTCGAGGGGGGGACAGGGACTGGAAGATTGTCCTGCGGGGACTTTTCGTCGAGCACCTGCTGTGGTGTTGTAGACATCTACGCGATCCGAGATGAAGTGTTCGCTGATCGTGCCAGTCTTCTTGGCAGGAGATTTCTTTTGGGAAGCAGGCTGAGGCGTGCTTGTTGGGACAGCCTCAACTACCGTTTGCGGATCACCAGGCAGTTCATTTTTCCGCTCAGTCGAAGTATCTACAACAATAGAGCTGTTTTGTACTCGAGGTAAACTTTTGGGCCTAACGGACGTGGGGAAGTGAGTGCTGGTATTGCCAGTCATCTTCCTTTTCTTGGCAGATGTCGTCGCCGGGGATCCTGTGGCCATGTCTATGGCTGCTTGCACTTCAGGTGGCAGAAGTGCAACCTTGCGATGCTCGAATGAAGAGGACACGGGGCGATCGACGTGACTTGACGACATGGAGGTTCTGGCACGCGTCTTCCTCATCGCTGCTGGCGTTTCCATCGCAATGTCGCCGTCACTGTCGAAATGGTCGAGACGAGCACTAGATTCGCTGGAAGCATTCACACTATCTGCATCGTCCTCTCCGTCCTCGTCAACACTGCTTTCGTCATCCACTTCGAAAGGAACCAGCTCAGGAGCTGGCGCATTCACGGTACGCTGCAGGGAGGTGTATTCTAGGACTTCGGGCTGACTGCTAGTGACTGGTGGAACAAATCTTGAATTCCTTCGACCATGAACATTGTTGCTGGGATTGATTGACCGATCGCCCTTGATACTAGCCGATTGAATGTCAGGGTATAGATCTCCAATTTCATGTATCGACCTTGTGTCCGCGAAAACACTGTTTGAGACGTCTTCAATCAAGCTGGGGATATCCTGCGTTTCCACGTCCATGATGATGGAACCATCGTCTTGCGAGTCATCTGGTCTGCTGGCTGCTTTGCTGGCTTGCACTGGCAGATTTTGAGAAAGGCCAGACTCTGTCCCACCAAGATCCTGACTCGACCTTGTTCTCTTGACGGCGAAGTTAGCTGTTGCCGACGATCTGGAGGGCTGATCTCGTATACCTGGAGCTTCGTGCCGATGCGTGGCTATCGACGTCTCTTCTGGGGCCTGCACGACTTCCATTGGCTCCCCTTCGCGTTGTGTGCTCGCAGTAACATGCGGATCATGGACTTCTTCTCTCCGACCAGAGACAGAAGCTAGATCAGAGGCCGATGCCTCTTCATCTGTATCCACTTGGATAGAATCTTCCGGCGCCGCAGTGGTCGGGTCGGTAGGATCAGCACCCTGTGACTCTTGTGCAGCATCGGCTCCTTTATCTTCCGTTTCTTCATCATTTGAACTCTCGTCACTGGCTTGCCCTTCAGCCATCGCCACGTCTTCGGCATCCTCTTCTGACTCTCCATCGTCGAATTCCTTGTCATGGGAGTCTCGGTCACCATCCTGATCATCCATGTCTTCGCCGTTCAACTGCTCGCCTTCCATGTCAACCGCTTCAATATGTGCATCATCTGCCGTCTGTGCAGTCTTCTCGGCATCATCAGACGTACCGGTCTCAAGCATTGAAGATGAGGCAGCCAAGACTATCTCACCATCTTCATTAAGGATGAAATCTGGAGCGTCATCATTTTCAGTCACCTCTTCCACGACATTACCACGGCCTTGGACACTCTCGGACTCGCCTTCACTTTCGTCCGGAACGTCTGACCGCTGTCCTGGTGGCGGTTCGGATAGCCTGGGCCCACCATTGGCAGGCATGTGAGGCGTTTCAGCTACTGCCTCTTGCTCAAGCTTATCACTGCTATTGCTGCTGCTGCTGCTGCTGCTGCTGCTGCTATCGGTGCTTTCTTCATCTTCCGCTTTTGCCGCTGCTTCTGTGCTGACTTTGGCCTCGCCGGGAATCGTGGTATCCCCGCCATATGCGGCCTCGGTACTTTGCTCTGCCGAACGTGGTTTTGTTTCTTCCTCGACGGGAAGAATCTCTTCATCGGAGGTCTCGTCTTCAGAGGACTCGCTGCTGCTTTGAATCTCGTTCTTTTGGGGCGCTGGCGTCGCAGATGACGCCACCAGCTGCGGAGGCTGTTCAACTGCTTCAACATCCTCCTCCTCCTCTTCAGATGATTCTCCAGAAGACGATGAGGGTCCTGATGGAATGTCCTTCACAGGTGCTGTCGCGAGATCATTGACCGTAGATCCGGGAGTGCGGTCCATGATTGCTTCGTCCTCGACATGATCGGCTGCATCAGTAATGCCGTTGCCATTTCCGATACTGCTTGTAGCTGCTACTGGAGGATCTTGTGCTGACGGATCTGCAAAATCCTCGTCGCGCATTTTTGGCGTAGGGGCTGCAAAACTTTCCGCAAAGGAGCCCCGCAGCGGTTGCTTGGCCGCAAGGCCCTCGTCAGACTCGCTCTCACTACTACTGCTCCTGCTGCTGCTGTCATCACTGCTGTCCTCACCTTGGCCCTTGCTGAGCGCAGCGGTCAGACGATCGAACTTGGCTTGGGTGTCTGCGACTGACAACTGTTTCGCTTTAGCTGTTGGCGCACTTGGCAGTCTGCGCTCCTGTAGAGGCTTCAATGTACCTCTTCCGGTGGCACAGGAAGCAGCTCGCGGAGGTTCTCGAACTTGCTGCGGCAATGTGCGCTTTTCCTGCAGTGAATCTGTTGAGGGCTGTTGTTGAACTCGACGTGGGGTGGCATCAGGCGCTATGCCTGGTAACGAAGGCTTTTGCGTAGTTTGAGCTGCTGCAATAGGCATAGAAGTTCCCGCACAAGCTGGAAGTGCTTGTGCATCATCACGTCCATCCTCACTATCGCTGTCGTTATTACTGCTCGAGCTATCGATTGAAGCGTCATCATTCTCATCGCCACAATCTGCTGCGCTATGCGCTTCGTGCTTGATATGGGGACGGCCAATATAGCGTTCCTCCAGCGCTCGCCGCTGTTCAGGCGTCACCAGACGCCAATCAACATCCTTGGCTGCGAGAGTTTGCGCAGCTCTTTGCTCGATATCGCTCCAGTCCATCTGGAAAATCTCAGCTGGATTTGGCTTGGCCACTGATTCGAGCTTCACATGTCGTCCAAGTAGTGTGGCAGCCTTGTCTGCTCGTCTGCGTTTCTTGCGTTGCCTCCGTGATTTGCGTTGATCTTCCGACAGAGCTGCGTCTGGGCCACGGGCATCCTTGGGTGCTGCCTGCTTCTGCTTGACCTTTGTTGCCTCCTGCTTCACTTCGGCCTTCTTGGGCGATTTCGTCTCCAGTGGCTGCTGAACGTCGCGGACGGAAGTGTGGGTCTTCATCCTGGACTTCGAGGGCTTCTTTCTTCTCTTCTTTTTCTTGTTATCCTGGTTCGGTTCTTGTGGCAGACCGCTGAGACTCAACGATCGCTTCTTCGGATTATTCATATCCATGGTGGTGGATTGGTGGCGGGTCCCTATTTAGCAGGTTCGATGTCTTACTGCTGCGAGCGGTATGCGCTCTTCCACCATGCAAGCGTGCGCAAGCAGTCGTAGTATCAGACGTCAATGGATATCGGACACGAGGAGATGAATGAAGCGACAAAGATGTTTTGACATTGTTAGGCGCAAGTTTTGTTTGCCGTAGAGTGACCACTGACCAGTCGTCTCCATGATCGCCCGGGATCTACGTGCCGAGACCGAAGGTTTGATTAGAATTTAGCGCGACAGGGCTCACCACAACAACACGTTATACGGAGGTACGTAAAGGCTTAGGACACCAGCAAGAAATGTTTCAACGAGGCACAATCTCTGGGAGGAGCATGTTCGTATAGCCATCAGATTTTCATATCATTCATATCTACGCTCGTCTATTCCACTCTCTCGGATCACCCTGTTTGCCCGTATACAGCTGACTTCTCCTCAACCCAGCCTTCTCAATCATGCCGCCCCACGTAGTTTCTCTGCTGACTCTCGTCATGCGATCGCCACTGTCGCCTCCGCCAGAAGAACTCCAATTTGGAAAGAGTCCTGTCAGTCTCGATCGACCTTTTCCATTGCCGGCATACGCAGGACTCGGAGGCTGCAGATTCGGACTCTTCAAGAAAGGCATGCCCGTGTCCGCGAATGTGGAAGCGTGGCCTGTGTGCGCGACTGGCGCGACGTAAGATCTGTGGCCTGCCGATGACTGCGGCGTTGGGTAGGGCTGTGAAGCGGTGGTGGCTTTCATGGGTGGGTAGGTGACTTGTGGTTGGGTTCTGGTGCTATCCCGGTTGGTAAGGGGAGCAGGATACGTGGGGGTTGTGTAAGGTGAGTTCAGACTGGCGCCAATGTTCACGATGTTGCTGTTTCGACCCGGTCGAGTCGGCGTGGAGTAATCGGGGTCGTCTTCAATGGGTGTGATGTCCGGACTTCGAGAAGAATGGGTGGTTTGCCATGACTTGTTGGAGCTGGATGCGGTGTGGTTGTTTTGAGCAAACTGAGGTTGATAGGTTTTGGAAGGCAGCGTTCCGGCGGTGCTCGGATTCTGGCTCGGAGTGCCCATGGCAACTTTGATCGTTTCTGTGCTTCCCTGGCGGGCGAGATCTGGTCGGTGGTCGTCGACGAGGCGCGCGGTGGGAGCTTGCTGGCTCTGTCGACGGAGAGAGTGCATGCTGCGCTGCTTCTTCAGACCACGGACGGGGCTTATCTTGAAGGAGTCAAAGGAGAGCGTGCCGCGCTTGAGGTGTCTTGGGAGTGGAGATTGAGATGGCTTTGGCGTGGCAACTTGATTGACAAACGGCGAATGGGAAAGCCAGGCCTTGCCTTGCGGTGTCGGATTTGCCGGGCGTCGCGCAGGCGACTCCACGTTGACCACATAGCCAGACAGTCCGCTATGAACAACATCGCGGGTTTTCTGCTCCGGAGAGGTACGGTTGGCGAAGTCTGTGCGATGGCCCAGGCTCATGTCTACCGTAGGCTCGGATATCGACCTGCCGTGCACCGTGGGTCGGCGAGAAGGTCCGTTCAGCCCCAGATCGGTCAGAGTGTCCTTGGAGTAGTGCTTCTTCTCGCTGATAGCACTACTCTTGGACTGCTTTCGGCGCCGAAGGCAGAAGATCAATGCAGCTAGAAGCAACACGCCGATCATGATACCCGGTATGAAGCCAGCAACGAAAGACTTCCCGGAGAAGTCGCTGGAGCTCTCTTCCTTCTCGCCTGGCGTAGATGATGTTGTCGATGCCGCATCTGCAGCAGAGGACGCAGATGCGGATGGAGTGCTTGTCGGGTCCGCAGTGCTGGTTTCTGAAGAAGTAGTTGCGGTCGGGGATGCAGACGAAGTCGCACTGCTCAATGCCGAAGATGAGGTTGTAGCCACCTCGCTTTCCGACAGCGCTATGCACAATTTGCCTGAGCACCTGTAGCCCATCGGACAGCACGCATCGCCACAGGTGTCCAGTCTTGCGGTGGGTTTTGAATGTAGTTGGCTCCCGGGATTACTTGTGGCATTTTGGTAGGTCTGATCACAAGAGACAGGTGATATGGTGGAACAGCTCTGGCCGGCAGGACAACATAATGCGGCGGTGATGGTTGTCGTCGTGTTCAGCGAAAGACACACAGTGTTCTCGCCGCAGCAGAAGTCGGAGGGGAATCCACTGCCACATTGTGAGAGGGCGGAATCGCCACCGCACGTATCGGCTCGTTTCGTGAGGGTCCAGTCTTCGTTCTCCCACTCCTGTGGAATCCATAGTGTTCGTGCCGATACTGCTCGCAGCATGCAAGGAAGGGCAATGAGAGTGGTGAAAGTGAACATAATTGGGGAAAGGCGAGCGCGTCCCAGCGGCGGGCAAGTGTCAATGCTAGCTGTATTGCTGGGGCTCAAGCAGACGTGTGTTGTAGACAAAAGAGACAAGGAAAGACAGCAGGCCGGCCAGCGGTCGCAGGGCAAGTGAGACAACAGAGGGAAGAAGAGAAGGGAAGAGGCAGAAGTGAAGAGAGAGAGACAATAGCAGAAGAGAGAGGGAGGAAGAGAGAGAGAGAGAGAGAGAGAGTCACTGTCTTACCTCCGTCACAGGTGTCAGTCGCCCATCCTGTCCCAGTCCCAGCGGAGAGTGAGTGAGTGAGTGAGTGGGTGGCAGTGGTTAATATTAGCACGCAGAGGTGGAGGTTCAGCTCACGAGAGTGACACCAGCGGCAGGAGGCGCGCATTGTGTGGCAGAGGGGCAGTGGAAGAAGTTGGGCGTGTGGGCGGAGAGAAGTGGATGAAACATGTTGGCGCTTGGAGAAGACGAAGCGCATCGATTGGGCGAGAGTGTCCTGTATACTACCTTAGTAAGGCACTTAGGTACATGTAGTCTAGTATCTCCTTAGGTAAGCTAGAAAGTAGAAGAAAGCGGGCGACAGAAGAGTTGGCCCGGTCACGATCTATGACACTGATGATGATTATTGATGCCTCAGGTTGTCGGCAGGTACCTCAGCGGAAGACGTCGACGGAGAAAGAAGTTGACGGGAGCTCCAGCTGCTTCTACTCACTCCTCCTCCTCTTCGGCCTCCTCCTCCTCCAACACCCTCACCCGCCATCATCATCATACCATGATCACGCGACGCCTCCTGCGGCCCTCCAGCCGCTTCACACAATCGCCATGGACCTGTGCAGCATGCGTCAGTCTCTCCTCGCCATGCCTCTACACCGAGCGACTCCGCCACTAACACCACCTCCCCCTCCCTCCCTTCCAGACCCAGCGCATTCCCTTCATCACTCCGCCGCCACAAGCGACAGCGACGACGACGACGATGAAGACCACAACGCGCTCTCTCTCCGCCTCTTCCCGTCTACAGGAACACCGCGTTCCTCCTCTTGCCTTCCATGATACTTTTATGGAGAAAGGCTTGTCAAGAAAGATATCGGAAACCGAGATGGGAGAGGAGTTATTGTCCCCGACAGGCTACTACATAGCCTGGGTGCAATACCAGACGCTTCTGACGCAGAAGCTCAACGAACTGACGGCAGGTCAAGACTTTGCCGACAAAACTCCCCTGGATCTGGCTCTCATCTTCGCTCGCGATCCGCTCAATGCCGCCCTCTTCAACCACGCTAGCATGGCTTTCAATAACCACTTCTTCTTCAATTCGCTGTCCCCTGCACCCCTCACTCTCGCCCAGACCCCGCAGCTCACCGAGAGTCTGGTCCAGACGTTTGGGAGCATCGAGACCCTACGCGCCACTATGATCGACACTGCCGCCTCCATGTTCGGTCCCGGGTTTGTCTGGCTCGTCTGGGCAAGAGATCCGGCCTCGTCATCACGATCCTCCACCACCTTCTCCTCGAGAGGTGGGAGCTGGAGGATATTGACCACCTATCTCGCCGGCACGCCATTCCCGGAAGCCGGTTACCGACAGCAAGGCCTCGACATGAGCAATAACAACCCCAATAGCTACCAGGCATATCTGCAGCAACAGACCAGTATTCCTGGAAACACTGCCGGAATGTTTGGGCCCTACTCGCAGACGGCGAAGCAGCAGGCCACGAAACCACCAGGCGGTACCAGCGTCATGCCAGTGCTGTGCGTGAACACGTGGGAGCATGTATATTTGAATGACCATCAAATTTTTGGGAAGAGAAAGTACCTGGAAACCTGGTGGAATTGTGTGGACTGGGGTTTAGTGCAAGAGAGAGCACCAGGCGAGGCAAAGGGGATGGATCGATTTGAGAGGTCGAGTGCAAGGTAGAAGGTAGTTGCTCTATGAGATGCACGCGGAATCCATGGTGACCGCGATCAAAGAGGACAAAGGCATTGGCAGAAATGTGATGACAAAAGGTACGCAGAGGAGGAGGAGGATGAGGAGACTGCATGGCACAAGCGAGCATCATGTATATTGGTCTGGCTCGATGGGCAGCACACATGCGCTTGTGGCCGCCGTCTTCTCAGGCTGGAAAAGCAAGTCCAGATATGCCGCGACAGACTGAACGACCCGGTCCGGTTCTGTGCGCGATATATTCATGCGTACCTTAGTTGCTCCGACCAACAGCATCAAACCGTGTGCTGACAGCAGCAGCATTAGCAGACGCTGCTTCACGCGTCAACGTGTATGTACAATACGACCAGACCTGTTTGTATAGAAGAGTCGCATAAATCATATGTACTCTGAATTTTTTTTTCCATCATCCCCAAGTTATGCCATCAGCTCACGCTCGCTGCCTCGAACAAGCGTAATTTGAGTAATTGATTGAAGAATAAGAAGAAGAGGACGAAGAAGGAAAGGAGAAGGAGAAGCGAAGCAGCAACGAAAAAAAGTCTAACAATTTTCTCTTCTTCTCCTCCTTCTCCTTCCTCCTTCTCAAACACGAGAAAAGAACCCGATTCTCATTCCTCTTGATCTAGCTCGGCGTAGTCTTCATCGTCGTCGTCGTCGTCGTTGGATTGGTGGAGGGGCTGGCGGAATGGAAATCTTTACATTTGTTTCTCTTTCTTTTTTTAAAAAAAAAAAGAAAAATTAAAAAACGAGGTTTAATTGGTCTATTCGTGGCTGAGTTATCTTATGGCCTGATTGACTGATTGATTCGTACTTACTTGCTTACTTACTTGCTTACTTGCTTGACTCTCGAGAGACTGGTAGCTCGATCCAATAGGTAGGTAGGTATACGTAGGTAAGTAACTAGAAGCGATTTCATTTTCATTTCTCCTTTTTTTCCTTGGAACCATTGGATTGGACCAATCAATACGTTAAAAGCTTGTAAGTAAGCGTCGACGGGAGTTCGACGTGAGAATTCATTCATTCATTTACTTGCCTCTTCTATTCCTCTGTGTCCTGCATTATATGCCTCTGTTTCTATAGCTAAGGTAGCTAACTGAGCTATTGATGATTCAAAGCACGCTTGCCCTTGACGATAGCAAAAGGAGAATTCGCCCGGCCTGGCCCCTTCCAATATTCCTGCGGCGGGAAATCTTCACTATGGTTTTTATACCCATGTCCAAACCCATGTCCAGACACATCGTCCTCATCATCTCCTCTTCTCTTCAAACAAGCCACACATCTCCCACACATCCCCTCCCCCCTCGGCACCCCCACGCCCTTAACATGTCCATTCTGCCTTCTCGCAATATTCAATCCCCAATCAAAATGCCATGCACAACATCCACTTTTCGCAATAATTTCTTTTTTATACGCGGCTAAACGACGGCTGAGCATTGATTGCGTGAGAAAACCTTGATCTGGATGCTGTTTCTGCTGTCGTTGTCGTTGTTTTTTCCCCGCGTTGAATCGTGTGCAAATGGTGGAAAAGGTGTAACGTTTGCTGAGCTCGAAGAGGAGGTGGGAGGTTATGAGGGAGGGGTTTTTTGATGTGAAGATTTCGTCGAGCGTGAGGTTGTTGATGAGGTCGGGGCTGGAGGGTTCGGATGGATGACGAGGCTCGTGGAGGTTGTGAGGCGAGCTTGGTGGTGGTGGTTCACTGGAGGAGAAGGGTATGGTTGGACTGCTGCGGTTGATGGGAGTGAAGCCATGCGTAGGTGTTGGGGCGCACTCCACCGCTGGGGTTTCCGCTTCGCAGAGAGTGTCTGCAGCTGCATCATTCTGAGATTCGGCCGCTGCGACGAGCTCCATCTCCTCGGCAAGGTCTCTCTGCGAAGCTCGAGCTTTTTGCAAAGATTCCAATTGTTGGGTGGACTGCATGGCGAGAGGAGAATGTTGGGAGGTGATACAGTTGTCCAGACCTTGAGACTCCGTGACGCTGTAAATTAGGGGCGCGGGGTGTCGTCTGCTGCGAGAAGCTGGGTGGTTCACCAGTCTCCTAAAGCCGTGTCTTTGTTCAGGGTAATAGTGGTATCGCGAGAGGTATAGGCTTGTCGAAGGAGATCGAGTGTTTGTTGTGAATGTGGTGTCAGGCTTCTCGGACGTCAGCGCCGCGCGCGTGGACTCGATGACTCCCTCATCGGGTCGCGAAAAGAATTTCCCCTCTATCCTAATAAGACAGAGGCAGTAAGGCTCTGGGCGGGTGCTAATATAGTCGAGATCGGTTATACAGTATTGAATTTGCAATATGTCGAAAGCGCAGTTGGAGGTATCGGGGGAGACTTGACTCCCAGGTGTGAATAGAGATATTAGTATTTTCCACAGTATCGAGAAGATAGCGAGCTTTGTTATAGTTCCATTCCCAAAGACGAAGGCTCTATACCCAGGTGGCGCGTGACGGCCCTATCACGAGAGGGATGAGCAGCGCCGTATGGCATCAAGCACCGTGCCGGCCCCTATAACTCTCAACGCCTGAGTGAAGCACCTTCGAGACCGCGTTTGCTGCTTTGTTAGGCCAGCCTGGGCCTGAAATAGTGAGAGCAAGTGATCCAGACACACTCAAGAGAGCACCTCATACGGTCTTCTGGATGAGTTCGCCTCCTCTGTTCGCACAATGCCCGAGCTCGCGCTGCGTGCGCCCTTCCCCCCGCCTCCTCTCTTCTTAACAAGAAGACCATTGGCACGTCGTGGAACGTATACCATCTCCTCTCTCACTTCCTCCCACATGGTGTCGTTGCCAGACCTTAGCTTCGCAACATACCTGCATGCTGATTTGACTCGTTCGTAGATGTTGTCGACACTGAGGGGAATTGTGCCGGGCGGCTGAGCTCCATTGATGGCCCTTGCAAGACCGGTATCACTGTACTTGCTAGCCAGGCGCAGGACGTTCAGCCCCCTGATCTGTTCAGTGTCCCCGCTCAGAATGGTTTCATCGCTCACATCCTCCCCATACACGACGATGTCTTTGACCTGCACGGTGTTTCGCTTTGGCGTGCTGGTCTGGGTAATCGGTGCTGGGGCCTCGCTGACATGGCTTGAGCTTGGAAGGCGCTTAAGTCCTTGAGAAGACGGGGCGGGAAATTTCAGATCGCGCAGGCCAACTTTCAGCACTACTACTGCTGAAGCTGGTTGTGATCCGATGACGATAACCCGGCTTGGGTCGTCTATCACGTTGAAAGCCAGGAGGCGGCCTTCTGCGGTCATGTTGTGCATGCACCAGTACTCGTCGTTCTTGAATATCGCATTCAGGCGTCTCGCTGCCTTCGCTGCATGCTGCTCAGCTTGCTCTGGTGGTCCATAAGCCATCTGGATGTTGTTGTCGGTGGAAAGATGTTGCTTTCTTGGGTTGAAAGCAGTGGCGAGTTGTGAAGATATTGAGCCAGCTCGTTCGAAGGAAGGTGCGTATTTGAGAGGAACCTAGCAGCTTAGCAAGCGGTCATAATAGGCAGCTAGGTACGATAGCTCAGCCCGTGCTGCGACTTTGGTATAAGAGTTAGTCCCATTGTCTATAATGTTTGCGTCAATTTTAGTGTCTCGTAGATTTACTAAACCTCCAGACAATGCAATGTTACGCCATCATATAGAGGTTTCAAAAGCGTTTGCTTCATCGCAGCAGAAGATTGGAGGCCTTGAGACAGTCGTGCAGACGCTTCCTGACATCTCACTAGCGTAGTTGAGAGCACTGATACATTACAAAGGCCGCCTATGACTTCCAATGTGCGTTCATGAGGCCTGTTCAGGACGAGTTTGCGGTGTCTATGCCAGATCCCGAAGAGTCGCAGGCTTGAAGAAGGCTTCTTGATCGTAATGAGAGGCGAAAAATAGTCCCATCCGTAATGCATACATCGCTGGTCCCATCAGTGCCTGGAGGTCAAGAATGACATGAGAGGGCCGCTCAACGTACAGTATCTAGGAAGTGCTGCCACCGGAGACATTGTTGTGGGTAGTCAAGGCTTCTGGATCGTGACCTCCTTGGTCTCTGGTCTCGTCCATTGAGGAGCGGACATCCGCATAATCGAATCGGCATACGACGATGTCCGACAAAAAGCATTATAGGTTTCCGAGTCAAATCAGACATCCGCAGAGACAGTCCTTGGTTGTGAGCACAAGATGACCAACCTGATAATACTCTACCGGTAAAGGGCGCGCAGGGCCAAGTGAGGTGAAGTGAAGTCCCACGCCAAGCCACATCCTTAGGGTTGCCTAAAAGCCATGGGACGCGGCAACAGCGATGGGCTCCCGGGCTATAGACACCAGATTGATTGATTGATTGATACATTATTTACATAGCCGTCTTGAAACACGAAGTATTACGTAGCTGAATCTATAGTCCCTCTAATAAGAGTTTACCCGAGGCCTTTTAAAATCTCTACCCGCTACCTTAGGTACCCTTCAAATATTAATACTATCGTTATTAAAGTCCGCTCCGCCCCTAGTTCGAATTCCGCCGTTACCCGTATCTCGCTGTCCCTAAAACGCCTATTTAAAGTCGGCGCTAAGACAAACATCCGTTAGCGCGGATTTAACTTAATTAGCCCTATCCGTTGATTTAGGTCCTACTATCTCCTCTCTAGCCCTTATAGCCCTACTTATCCGTTTTCTCTAGCAAATTTAATAGGGCTTGTATTAAAGTACTACGTCCTCGCCTTATTTATTCGATATCTCCTAGCGTTAGGCTAGAGAGGAATTAATAGGGTCTCTTTTAAAGCGCTTCTTATCCCTCTATCCGCTCGTTTAACTATTCCTCTATAGACTGTCCTTAGGTCCTTTATAGGCCTCGTCTCTATTAGATTAGTTAGTAACTGTATTAGGAGGCTTTAATATTTAACCGGTTCGACGGCTCTAGTTTCGAGATAACGGTTATACCTTTAGTAGGAGTATACTATATACTAGATATTAAATACCCGGTAATATTAATCCTCTATAGGATTAACAGCGTCCTTTCTATACGAGGCTAAGTTTGAGTTAGTTTAGGCGAGCCTTCTTCGTAGCGAGTTTTGCTATATAGAGTATCTTCTTATTACTTAATACAGTCTTCTTACTAGTTTTACGCTCGCCTAGGCCCTCCTCCTCGTCGTCCGTATCGATTGCCCTAAATTGCTTAAGAACTTAGGCCTTAAGTAGGAGTAGGGCGGCGCGTCTAGCTATTACGGGTTCTCTAAGAAGTCGCTTTATATTAAGTACTCTTTCCCCTATTGCTATATATATTAGTTTACAGTCAGTTTCTAGGCTCGGGTATTAGATTAGAATATAGGCGACGTCCTAAAGTTACGGTTAGATTCCTAGTTTATCGATATAGAGGTTGTAATAGAGTAAGTCCGCCGCCCCTATTCGGTATAGGAATTAATTTAGGGCTA